AGAAGATTGAATTGAATGATACAACGAAGACAAGAAATTAATTATAGATATTCTCAAGGTCATAAATCCCGAATTCGTCGAGCAGAATATCATAGCTCACAGGAGGCTAGGATTATTCGAAAAGGGAAAGAAACGACCTCTAAAAGTAACATTCTTGAATAAGCAAAAAGTAACTGATATAATAAAGAAAGTCAAAGTTCTGGCCACCCATGAGGAATACAAAAAAATCTGGATAAGAGAAAACATGACCAGAGATGACAGAGTAACACTACAAAAGAAATTGGAAGAAGTAAAAAACAAAAATGAACAAAGGACTGAAGAGGAAAAAAAAAATTATTTGGAGGGTGAGAGGTCTCCAAGCAAAGCAAATATACTATCGGAACCAAAATGTAGAAGCAGACAAACATTAACCCTGCAACCAAATTTAATACCTAAAGATTATATAGAAATAGTTTATACAGATATTGATGGTTGATCTACGAAGTTGCTTGAACTAGAGACAATAATTGATATGGATAAACCGGATGTAATATGCATCACTGAAACCAAACTGGACCCCTCCATAGACGATGTAACATTAGGGCTCAAAGACTATAATATTTGGAGAAAAGATAGGACAGATGGATATGGAGGGGAGGTATCAATATTAACAAAGAAAGGAATTATTATAAAGGGGTTAGAAATTAATCAGGACCCCATAGTGGAAATGAGGGTAATTGAGGTAGTAACAAATGGGGTAAACATAATAATAACCACGGTATACATGCCACCTCAAACATCGGCCTGGTCACTAGAAAATTACCAGAAACTGATTCAAGAGACAATAAAGAGCCTGGAAGAAGTGCTACGACTTTCAGAAACCAATTCAACAGAAATTCTAATTACAGGGGATTTTAATAGCAAAATCGACTTGGCAAGTTTCGATCCTAGAGTACAATTAGATTCGTGGAATGCTAAATTACTAGATGTCATAAATGAGCATTGCCTTTTCCAGAATGTAACAGACATACCAGGATAAGAGGGCTAGATAGGCCGTCTATGCTTGAACTAATATTTACAAAGCATAACGACGATAGGAAAAAGCGACCATGTACTGATTAAACTAAAATAACTGTCTGCTACAGGAAAAACTCATCGTAAGCAAGGAAAGAAAGGAAAAGTACAATTACAAAAGAGGTGATTATAGAAGCCTTAAGGATTTCTTTGATAACATAAACTGGGAAACACTTCTGGTTGATGAGAACCTTGATGTTCAGTATTCAAAATTTTGTGAGATCTATAAAAGAGGAGTGGAAAAAATCATATCCAAATTCAAAATTGAAGCAAGAAATGGCCAAAAATGGTTCAACGACAAATGCAAGAAAATGAGGGAAAAAAAGCATCTCCTTTGGAAAAGATTCAGAAGGCATAGATCTCAGGCAGCATATGAAAGTATATAAGTAGGAAGAAATGAGTATACCCAAACCATGAGAGAGGTGAAATTAGACTTTGAAAAGGATATAATCAACAATCAAGTCAACAAAACTCTTCTTTAAACTACATAAATAGTAAAACTAAAAAATAGTAGGGATCAAACTAGCGCATCAAAAGCAAAAATTGTATATTCTAAGGGGAAGAAAAATGTGTGAAATCCAAAATGAGAAATTTCAGTCAGTGTTTGTTCAGGATCCATGCTTTGATATGGCAAATACCCGTACAAACATAAAGAACATCGAAAATGTCACCCTCAAAAAGAACGAAATAAATTATCTACTAAAAGGATTAAACAAGACCAAAGCAGAGGGACCAGATGAAATTTCTAACTGGGTTCTTAGGGAATGTGCCGAAGAACTGTGTACTCCTCTATTGTTAATATTCCAAAATTCACTAAGACAAGGTAAACTACCAAAAAGTTGGAAATTCGCAAATGTTACACCCTTACATAAGAGCGGCGACAAACAAAACCCTCTAAATTATAGACCAGTTTCATTAACTAGTGTAGTATGCAAACTGCTAGAAAGAATAATTAGAAAACAATGGGTTGAAATGCTTGAAAAACACGAAATGATATCAAATAAACAATTTGGTTTTAGAGAAGGAAGGTCGTGTGTACAAATCTCCTCTGTTTTTTATGATCATAGAGTATCTGAAATATTACAAGAAAGAACCTGGCTGGGTGGATTGTGTGTATTTAGACTTTAAGAAGGCTTTTGATAAGGTGTCTCATAGAAGACTGCTATGGAAATTAGAGCACCTAGGTGGAGTGAAAGGCAACCTACTCGCATGGATGAAAGACTTTCTTCATGAAAGACAAATGAGCACAGTAATTAGAGGAAAGCATTCTACATGGCGAAGAGTAACCAGCGGAGTGCCTCAAGGATCGGTGTTGGCGCCGATTTTGTTTACTATTTTCGTCAATGATTTAGAGTCAAACATAAGCCCAGATAGTTATCTGAATATGTTTGCAGATGACGCAAAGATACAAAAGAGGTTAACAGACGTCTCATGCCAATGCCTCCAAAGTGACATCGAGAACTTATTCACATGGAGTTGTACATGGAAAATGGAATTCAATACCAATAAATGCCACGTAGTCAGATTTGAAGAAAGTAGAAATAGCTAACTATTCCAATACAAATTAGGGGGCACAGTGCTAGACACAGCTGTCAGGGAAAAAGATCTTGGGATAATCATAAATAGAAACCTAAATCCAAATGACCATATAAATGAAAAGGTCCACAAAATGTTAGGACTGATTGCCAACATGAAGAGGGCATTCGTGTATGTGGATGAAGATATGGCAAAGAAGATTATTAAAGCAAACATAAGACCAAGTCTTGAGTACGGTGCAGTGGTATGGAGTCCACACTTAAAAAAAAATATTGACAAACTGGAAAGAGTCCAAAGAGCGGCGACAAGATGGGCACCTACCCTAAGAGATCTGAGTTACGAAGACAGACTACAAATATTAGGACTTATTACCTTGGAAGAAAGAAGGGAAAGGGTGGGACATGATTATGCTTTTCAACTGCATTACAGGAAGAGTGAAGATGGATAAGGATGACTTTTTGATCTTGAACACAAGAAGGAAAGGACACAACAAAAAGTTGAAAGTAAAAAGAGGTGATAAAGATGTCAAAAAATATAGTTTCCCTAACAGGAATCATGTCAGTCTCCCCAATCAAGTAGTGTGTGCCAAAACCGTGCATCAATTTAAAAGTATACGATAATTTAAATATAGCAGACAGGACCACCTGAGCATAGCTCTTCTCCCGTATTCAAACAACTAGGTAAGAACACACACACACACACACATACACACCACTCATACACACGCGCGCGCACACACACACATATATGTGTGTATGAATATACAGAGTATGTGTGTGTTTGCCTGTTAGTTGTATTAGTTGAGAAACAAAGTGACATGATGCTCACCCAAAACACACTCTCACTATCATGTAGACCCAAAAGGTCGCTGGCTCGGCCGGAGGCACAAAAGTGAAAAGCAATGAGCTCACTCCAGCCATCACTGTTGAGATACTTAATATCACCTGTAATAAATGACTTAGCAATGTAGCAAATTATTTTTCTACCATTGTTAACATATCTGGAAAAAATAGAAAACATTTCTATACTTTGTCCACCTCTCACAGTCCCATCCATTTGGGCTGACTCCGCATTCTTACCTTGTAATTGCCCAGTTTGTCTCCTACGATGCCCCCGAGGAGCGAAACCACAATGGTGACGGCAGACATCACAGATCCTACAATACCCGTCTGGTATTTGGTGAGTCCGATAGCCTCTTGGTGAATGGTAAATTGCGACCAGAGTATCACAATAGCTGGAGAGACCGTTAGAAGCCAGTAAGAGTTCCGTAGGCGTTATTAAGAAACTTTTTTAAAACCAGTGGTAATAAAGGAGCTGATCCTAGATATTTGAACTGGAACATGTCATAGAGATCAGTCTCCTCAAAGATCCGTATTAACAGCTGTATATAATCTATTATAATTGGGAACATTAATTCACTTACCGATAATTTTTAAAATGTAAGTTATGGACCAGTGAAAGCCTACAGTTTTGACAGGCAAAATGTAATCAGATCTCACCTGCTAACAGGAAAAAATATATGATCTTTAGGACAACGAGCTTGAGAGTCAGAAGATCATCCCAGAATCTTCGAAGTCCTTTCGTGAAACTCATTTTGTCTTCGTATTTGCTTCAGTTCCAACTGGGTGAATGGCAGTAAAAGGTCCGAAGAGCTGTGAATTACAAGAGCATGGAGCATGTACAGCTTTGAAAAGGTAAACATGACAAGTAATATAATAACACACATTCTTAAAGACTCTTTTCAATTTTGATACAATAGGTATCATGAAAAGCAAACTTTTGTTCTGCCGCCAGTAACAGGAAGCAGGAACAGTCGGTATTATAAAAACACATAGCTATATACTTATAATATGCAGCTGTATTTGTGAATGGGTATTTATATAAACACATTATATAAATAAATATATATATAAATAAATATATATATATATGTTTATTTATTTATTTACATATGTGTGTGGTATGTATGTATGTATATGAATATATAAACCTCTCTCTGCGGTAGTGCATTATTTCCATCCTTCATGTATGTATATATACATATATATATCTATATATACATATATACATACATATACACATATATACATATACATATCTACATATAGGGTATGTGTGGTGTTGGTTTATACATATTGTCAACATTATGCTCTACTGGGAGGGTGTTGTGTTGTCAATAATACACTTCAGTCCTCCCAAGGTCGAAACAGAAGCTGTGCCTCCCTCTCTCAGTCCAGAGAAAACAGCTATTCACACCTTCCTTGCCTGCCCAAGACTTTCTCTTCCAGCGACCAAGCCCTTCGTCATGCCCAAAAGAATGGACACCCAAGAATATGGTACCAGGCACCTCCGCCAGCAGGACAAGGAGTCGCTGGGTATAAGGACGTCTTGTCAGGCAGAGAGAGCACCAGAGGCAGACCAAGACCTAACAGGAGTCACAGGACAGGAAGTCAGCTCCACCCTCAGTACTCAAGTCACGAGGTCACATCTTTACCTCCCAAATAAAGAAGCAAGCAAAGTCCCCTTTAATTCTCCACCAACCTCTACACCCCCCAACTCTTATGTTGACAACTGGTGGCTAGCGGTGGCACAATGCCGAACGTTCCTGAAAGAAGCTCCTGCCCAAATGCCTCCAAAAGCCAAGCCCACACCCACGCTGCCTCACCCCTTCACCTGCCACACGTTGTGCTAACAACTCACGCCTGTGTTACGCTCCAGACGAAGTTGCTGAAGATGGATTCCCCAACCCACTCTCGCCAACCATCTCACCTAACTCGCCAAGTCTTTGGGAACCTTCGTCAGCACAAGCCAAGAAATCACACTTCGACCCTACACCACCGATACTCTCTCGCTACTTTTAAGAGTAAGGGTAGTTCTTCAGTGCCAGTTTAACTATTCGCCCTCCCTAAACCCACCCACACCTTACATATAAGTTGCCTTTTCTTAACTACTAATTCTATATTACAAAATTTCTCACTGTTAATAATTTAACTTACAACGAAATTACACACTGAGGTCACTGTGACCACTCATCTCACTCCCCCACCTCATTCCCCCGCCCTAACCATTCTTTAATTGATGTATATTGTGTTATTTGTGTCTTTCAGACCATCGTATTATTGTTTTCTTCACATTGCATAATATGTTTTACTTTTTTGAGTGCAAATAACAATTTCAATTTATTCAATTATCGTAATGTATCGGTGTTCTCGCGTATATTATTCGTGTCTATTGTTGCAAATTTACACTAATTTTCGCTTCACTTTACATGCTATGTTTATTAGTAGTTCCTTCGTTCCTGCTTGCGTTTCACTTTCATTCTGTGAATTTATACATATGGTGTGTTTTGAAAATCACTTTCCCTTTACTTGCCGCGGAAATTGTTCGCTTATTCACACATATATGTCGACTCTTTACTCACCTATTTAACCGCTCTACACGAATTCACTCTTGGATCATTTGTACTAAGTACCATGTTTTATAACTGATTCTAACTCGCTTTAATGACGTCTACTCTCAATATTCGATATCTTATCGTTAATACTGCTGGAATTTATGCTTCTTTAGTTTTAAGGTTTTGGTGAATATGTAACTTGTAACTAACTTGATGAGTCGGAATCTGTTGCAATAGGGGTTTTGCACTGCAGACACCATGCATTATATAGGCTTACATATTATCACCACAATTTAGTTTTAAGCTGACATGTTACTACGAAAAATCGTGCCCAGACGCCATTGAATCTCCTACGAAGGAATCGCGCTCGCCAAATTTTGTTATTCGTACTTACTGCGCTCAAGATGCACATGTTTACTGCTGCCTACGAATTGTGCCTTGCCGCATATTACTTACTCGCACTTACGTCTTACTGTGCCCAAGATGTGCACGTTTACTTTTGTTCAGGCCAAACTGCCTCCGAATTGCGCGCCGCCGCCGCGCTTACGTCTTTTTTTTTACAGCGCCAAGACGTTCACGTTACTTTAAGTGTCTGAAGCATTGTTACTAGCCTATTTAGCCCAAAGATAAGGAATTCTCATTCACTTTCTCCCTACAAAATAATGGTATTCTTTTGAACTCACTAATCCTGAGTAATTAAGACCTTCTCATGACATGTTGCCTTCTCACAACAAATGTTCTTATTACTTTCATTTTCTGGCATCTTAGTAAAGTAGTGACAAGTAAAATTACCATCCTCCTCCTTAGCCCTTTTTACCGGCCTGGTACACTTATATTTCAGCCCCTGAAGACGAGGTGACGCACCCACCGAATGTTGCACCTCGCTGTGAACCTCCGCCACGCTGCTACCCTGACACGCGACGACCGAAAGAACCATGGAGCACCAGCAACCATCAGTAGAAGCCTATTGGGAGCTTGTCACCAGACACGCCATCAGTGCTTAGACGTTGCAGATGGCTCGAGGACGAGCCAATTTGCGTGGCCAAGCGGTTGTCAACAATATGCTCTACTGGATGGGTGTTGTGTTATCAATAATACACTTCAGTCCTCCCAAGGTCGAAACGGAAGCTGTGCCTTCCTCTCTCAGTCCAGAGGAAACAGCTGTTCACACCTTCCTTGCCTGCTTAAGACTTTCTCAATATAAAAGGCTGCATAAATTGTAGGTTCTTGTTATAAGAGTTTTAACACTGTTGATTTTATAAATATCTATCCATGCTGATAAAAAAAATGAAACCAGGACTAAACATTACAGTGGCTCCCTTGTTTAGACAGTAACTGTCCATCACCATAAAACGCCTACTTTTGGTTATTTTGGCATATGCGTTCCACATTTATGATTTATATATTTTGCAAATATATGTGTGTACAGGTTATGTATTTTCCTCGTATATTTAGGGGTTTATATCACTGTACTTTCCATTATCCAATTGCACGGTTTTATAAAACCAGAACCTGGC